CTCACGCTGGCTGCTGGCTACACACGGTAGCCCATGGCAACCCACTGCTTCAGGGGTTGCAGCCTACGCTGTCGCCGGCGAATCGCAGCAGCCCAGCTCCAGGTTGAGCTGTTGTTCAGCATCTCAGCTGTAGAGGGCAGTGTCACTGGCCCTCATATGTGGGATCTGAACCGGGGCCCTCTGGCGTCCCAAGCTAGTTCTTAACCATCGCGCCACTCGGCAGCCCCCTTCCCCCTTTTTTTTAAACATATACATTTCTAGAAGGGAAATTACAATGTAATTTAAATCAAAGGCCCACCAGGCTGGATCTTCACATGTTTCTTTCTGTGTGCTGGGTGCCTAATAGGTGCTTAGTAAGTTGAATGAATCAATGTTCTGTATAGAGCTGTAATACTGAAATAAACAGCAGTTTGCACGGTTGCCGGATTCACTTCATTATCACTACCATTGCACATTACTTTTAAAACCCTTGTTAAATAAACTTGTAACACATTGCTCTAATTTATATTACTTTCGAGTTGGATGTTTTTTCCTTATTTTGTATTTGTGTTTCGTGAATTTTCTGTGTTTTTTCTCATGTATCTGTTGTGATATTTATATATATATATTTATTTAAATTTCTCTTTTTATAATATGGATAACAGCCATTTCTTTTCTTCCATGCGTTGCATTTTCCCCCTTCCAGTGGATTTTCTTTTAAATTTTATATAATTTTGAAATTCAGAAGTTTTGGTTATTTTGTTTAGCAAAATCTGCCATTTTGTTTTTCCTTTCATAATTTGTTTCATTGTATTTATGCATATGACAGGTAAAATTTTTACTTGAAGTGCTATTTTATTAGTCATTTCAAGGTGAACATTTGTTATACTTTTTGACTGGTTTAGTGTCATACGAACGAAGACTTAGATAAATGTTTTAAAGGAGTGATCCCTCCATCTCCTGCACCAACAACTTGGGGATGTGAAAGTGCTTGTTAAGAATTCAGCTTTCTGGGGCTCACCCTTGACCCACATTAGAATTTTTGGTGGGGATGCCTGGGAATTTTCATTTTTAACAAGACCACAGCTGATTTTTCGGCACTTTAAACTTTGGAACCACTGACCCAGATACTATAAATCCAGTAACTGAAAATTTAATAGCATTTTGGGGGCATACCACTTAATATCTTGCAATTTTCTTTCCACTGTTAGAAGAGTTGATTTAAAATCGTGACATTGAAACCGTTTGTTTTGTTTGTTTGTTTTATCTAGTTTGCTTGGTTTTCTTTGGGTTGGGAGTCAAAAGGACATAGAGGACTTCATTTTCAAGTCTCACTCCCGTTCCCTGGGGAACAGCGGCTGCAGCCTTTGTCAGGAAATGCTTTACTTAATCCTGAAAACAGAGCCCAGCCAGGGTGTTGTGAAAGGTCGCCAGGGACCTGGGAACCACAGGTTTTCTTGTATCAGTGCCCTGGGTGCTGGAGGCAGCTAATTACTGTAATTATAATCACACTAGGTTGATTTTCCCAGATAGGAAGATGCTGTTCTAACTGATCTAATTTGTTGCCAAGTCGTGGCCACCCACCTTTCATCTGCAGCTAGCTCCTGGCGACATGATTTCTCTTTCACATGCCTCGGCAGCACGATGTGTTGGAAAGCACATTGGACTGTGAGCTTAGCAAACCCAAATGCGCTCTTTCCTGCTCATAACGGGCTTTGTGGCTGTGGACAAGTTTCTTCATCAGCGTAAGAAGGAGGTCAGTGAGATGACGTCCCTTTTAGCTCTTACATTTCAAGTCCCCATGTTGGCTGCCTTGGAATGTACTCGTTATAGACAGCAACAGTCTTGTTTCTATTGAAGGTCTGTGAGTGTCTCCATCGCACTGTCCTGATAGGTTCTAGCTCAGTCATCTGCTAAAAGCAGTTCACTCTTACCACTGTATTCACTTCTTTTAAATAAACCCTCCTCTATATTTCTCTCTTGCATCCCCACCCCCAGGACACCTACTTTGCTCTCTCTTATTCTCTTTGTCCCTTCCTTTTTTCCATCTTCCTTAGTAACGCTTTAAGGCATGCTAGTGCTATGGCTTATACAATAGTTTGAGGCACTGCTTCTCCTGATTAGTGAGACTGGAACCTTGCTACTGAAAGTGTGGTCCACAGGCCTGTTAGCATTACCACCTGGGAGCTTGTTAGAGATGCAAACTCTCAGGCCCCACCCCAGACCTTCTGAATCAGAATCGGCGTTTTCACAAGGTCCTCAGGTAATCACACACTCACACTCACTCACACTCACTCACACTCACTCACACTCACTCACACTCACTCACNCGCGGCGCCGACGCCGAGGCGCGGCCATGGACGGGAAGACCCGCGCCGGGGTCGCGCTGGTCCCGGGGCCGAGCGGCCGCGGGCCTTCCGCTCGCCGCGCCCGCCCGGGGCTGCTGCTTCCCGGCCTCTGGCGGCTGCTGCTGCTGCTGCTGCTGGCCCGGCCGGCCTCGTGCGCCCCAGGTAAGCGCCCACGAGACCCTCGGGCCGCCGCCGCGACCCTGCCTGCCTTTTATTGCTGTTATTTTCAAAATCCTGCTTTCCCCGCCCCATCCTTTTATTCTCCACCGCTCCCTCGCCCTCCTTTCTTAAGATGCGTTTCCATTCTTCTCGGGCCCAGCAAAGAAAGGCACGGAGGAAATAAAACGAAAAAGCAAGCGGGTTGTGGCCAATCTTGCTCAAGGTCTGCAAAGCTGTCTTCTCCACGGAGCCCGAGGCCGGTCTGGTGGCTTCGTCTCCGAACGAGCCTTTATGTTCCCCTGCGGAATGCAAGCTCTGGAGTTGTAGCTTTGCATGGCTGTATCAATGTATATCAAATGTTTGGGAATACTTTATTGTCGGGGCGAAGGGGGTACATTGGGTGTGTGTGCTTTAAAACGGCATTGCATTACTCCGAGTAGCCCTGCCGCCCGCAAGATGCAGGTAGGCTGGTGGTGTCCCCCCAGTGCACAGGACACAAAGAACACTCAAAGAATATCTCTTGGAAAGCGCTCTGGCCATGGATCTTTCCAGGGAACCAGCTATCGCTATCACTCCTGCAAAGGCATCAGTACGATACAGTGTGAAAATATTGTGATTCTTAAGTGTCAGGGCATGAAAGGAGTCACGGTTGTTTTTACAGTAGATGCAGTTTACTGACGGTTCGTCAGCACGGAATTAAGAGGCATGATTTATGAAGAAGCATGTGGGTGGGTTTTGTTGTTGAGGAAATGATTTAATTCATATTGCTTCTCCAAAATGTTTATTTGTTGTCCGTCCCCCCCAACCCCCATGCACACAGGATGGTCTGGAAACCATCTCTGAGCTGACACGCTATAAGCCAGTGGTGGCCCTTGGCACACACATTGACCGCTTTGGGGGCAGAAAAGGAAAGGTGGAAGGAACAGCTGTGGGTGGAGAGCTGCTGCTCACGGAACGAAAACAGAAAGCCATGGAAGCTACTAATCCTCCCTTCTCTTGGGAGCAGGGCCAAGGGACTGCCAAGTGGCTTTGGAAGGAAATGGAACATATTTGAAGATGTCCCTTGGACCTCACTGTCGGAATTATAACCAGTGCCATGTAGGGGATAGTGCAGTAGAAGCTCAGGAAGACACTTCAGAAATCATAGAGTGGAACCGCTCCTTTTACAAAAGAGGAAACTGGGAAGTGACTTGTTCAAGGTCACAGGCTAGTTGGTGCAGAGTCATCACTTTTCTGTTTGCCCTGCTGCCTTGACTTATACACACCTGAGGCCTCCAAATAGATTTTCCGTAGCTGGGTGGAACCCTGCCTCAAAGCCACGCGGGAGCTGCGGGCGACAAAATGGGTCTCTTTCAGGCTGTGTACAGAGAGTGCAAACAACGGTGCCTCATCTGGTACCTCAGCTCTCAGTTGTACTCTCTGCGTGTTGCAGCCCTGGGTGTCCAGGAAGACCCTGGGTGTTCTATGGGACGAGATAATCGCGAAGAGTGCTCTTGGCTTAGTCAACAAAGAAAGCCCGCCTGATGCTAACAGATTCATCAGCTGTGGGACACCACAAACTAATCATTTTCATTTACTGAGTGCTGCCTTTGTGCCAGGTGCTACGTTCTATGCACATGATCCAATCACGCTATGAGTCAGGCATCACTGTCCCCAGTTTACAGATGACAAAACGAAAGCTGCAGCAGTTTAGTTTGACTCCAAACTCTATGCATTTGCCTCTGTACAGCGTCTCCCATGCAAATGTGGCCATCTGGGTGGGTATACTACAAATGTAGAGAATATAAGTAATTTTTTGGATAAATCTAAAAATCAATATTGGGGCTGTTTGTCTTGTCCCTTTGTAACTTTCTCTTCTTTAGAAGTCCGTTCCTATTTTACGTCAACCCCCCAATACAAATACAGGCCGACCCCCGCTTTATTGCGCTTCACAGGTGTTGCGTTTCTTACAAATTGAAGGTGAGACCCTCCACTAGCAAAGAGATCATGACTCACTTTATTGTGATGCTCGCTTTATTGTGTCGGTCTGGACCTGAACCTGCAGTATCTCCGAGGTGTGCCTGTCTTGTATTCAGCTTGGAGATGTGAAATTAATTCTATTTCTGCTCTAGAGCTGACCACGGAAACAGACACGTCACCCTTTCACTAATTTGTGTATTGGGCGCCTCTGGTTTGCGCAGCTGCTTCTAGGCTGGGTAATAGAGCAGGACCCTGGCGAAGTGGAGGACACGCACCTGTTCTGAAGGATCCAATTAGAGATAAAGCAGGGCACGTGGACTGCTGCACGGACTGGTCTCGGGCAGGAAAAGCAGTGAGTGAGAGCGTTCAGGGAAGACCTCTCAAAGGTGGTTTCTGATCCGAGGCTGTGAGGAGCGATGTTGGTGAAGGGTGACTTCCTCATGCATGGTGAGTGGTGGTTGACCCTGGAAGGAGGCTGCATTTCTGTTGTTTGTCCCTGGTCTCCTCTCTGTGCCACTAGGACCCTCTGGCTCCCAGTCCTGAGTGTTGTATTTTCACCATGAGATTGGGGATGGTGAAGGCTTTGCTGGGTCTTGCCATGGTGGTGCACTTTCTAAAGAGTAAGCCGTGTTAGTCTAAAGAGCAAATGGCATGTCTTAATCCTGTTTTGGATTTCCCAGGTTAGGCACCAGTCTCTCTGTGGCCGTCTGAAAACCTCTTCCTTAAGGAGATTCCTCTTTCTTTGTTAACTTGTGTTAAATGGAGTCCACCTTCCAGCTGCAGCCCCTTATTTAAAGTCGTTATTTAAACTTCTGTGTTTTATTGATTTCTTGTCTATTTCTATTTCAGCGTTTTGAATGTGCCCCTTTTTTGTGTGTTTAAACATTTATAAGTTGGGTCTTGGTGTTCACTGTTGTGGAAAACAATTTGTAATACTTTGGACTTGCTTTTGAATGTTGTGCTTTTAGGACTGGCTACTTCCACAACATAAAAAGAAGGAATTGTGCCTTTTTCTTCATCTTATTTGCGGATAGGTCTTTCTTTAAATAATAGTTATTCTGAAATTGTTAACTTTGCCAAGAATTTGAAATTACTGGGAGGTGTAGAAAACAAGTAGCCATAATCCTACAATTTATAGGTAACACTGTAAATAGTTTTGTCTTTGTTAACATTAAAGAAATGAAAATTGAATTATATGCACAGTTTACTTTTTTTCACTCAGTATTTAACTTATGCATTTTCCTATTCGTTAAATATTGTTTGAAAACAGTTTCCATCCCAATAATTTACTTAATTCTTTTATTATTTCCAGCTTTTTTGGCTGTTGTAAATAATGCTGTGATGAATAGCTATGTAGGTAATGCTTGGTCCATATTTCTTTGTGGGTTTTTTTTTTTTAAGATTTTTATTGGGGAATTGGGGGTATGGGAACAGCGCTGGGGAATTGGGGGAAGGGGAACAGA